CGTGAAAGGAATTTAGCTGGCGTGGGCCTATAAAATTTACTTGGAGTACTTGAGTTATTCGTAATTCACATTTCGTTTCTCCAGTTGTACAGCTGAAAACTTTCCAGTTGCTCAGACTCATACTGCATCGCCTTGCTGGTTTATGCAAGCGTGCTGACTTATGTAAGTGCAAATCGTTTGCCATTACCTGTTATGGCTTTAATGGTCACGCAGGTTTTAGTCTATGCAAGCCTGAACTAAATTAGTGCTTTATTCCTATCTTGTTTAATTTTTAAGTGACTCATTGCTTCTGTATTCGAGAAAGTCATGAGTGATTGTGGCTTTGCGCGCTTAGTCCAGTCCATATTTCTTTTCTCATTTAATGATGGCGATTTAATCTCTCCAATGCGTAAAAAAGTCCGCCTCCTTCAACTTTTGGCTATTTCAGTGGATATTAATAGTTCTACCTCTAGGATCACTTTTACCTGGTCAATTACTGAAAAAGGCAACACTGACGCGTCTTTTTTTTCTGACTAGAGGAGATGGCCAGTGCTCTGGGCAAATTGAGACACATCTAATGTAGTGATCAGTAGCGCTTTTCTCGGGCTGGAAGTCGGTGATTCGATTCCACAGTAGAAAAACAGTTCGATGTTTTTCGATCTATTTTTGAAAAAAGGAAAATAATTTCGTTTGGATAAAAAATGCTGTTGCGCATGCTAAAGAGCCATAATCGCCATCGGCTTACTTCTGCCAACTTCAAAAGAGATCCGTCGACAGCTTCACCTGCAGCGGTTGCTTTTGGCATTTTTTACCATTCACTCTTTATACGGAGAGTGGTTCACGGAACAGTTTTCGCTTTTAAGGCGTATCTTAGACACAGCAAGCACCATACCAATGTTACAGTTCAAATAGATTTCTACAGCGTTAAGAGTAACAGACAGGCTGAGGCTGGATTAATACTTTGAGCAGTTGTAATTCATAGTCTGCTTTTTTAGCTCTCCAGCTGACGAAAAAGCGCTTTCATTTGGCGATTGTTAAATATTTTTTGTCTTGAAGGAATGAAATACGGACAGAATTTTAGGTTACTACTAAAAGACCTCACCGCAACTTGGGCGATCAGTCGCGTGGTGGAGAGTCTGATAGTGTCTCTCCTGGCGCTCGTTTTGTCTTTGAATTTTGTCTTTGAACAGAATGACAATTCAACGATTTACTTAACGGAAATTAGTTAATACTCAGCCAACCAGTCGAAGCCGCTTCGTATTCGCTCTGTGAAAGGCTTCAAGAAACAGACGGTAAACCGATGAATTATTTTTCTCCGTACTAGCTCTCTTGCGCAAATGGCATTTAAAAATAATATTTTTTTTTAATCACTTATTTTAACACAGTTCCGGAGTGTTATAAAAACAACCAAAATTTCACTCATATAAGACATCAAACTGATCAGATAAACGATTTCGACATAGCGTTACAGAAAATTCGAGGAAAACGAAACGGAAATTGTTGTTACAACGAAACTCTCACTTCGCAACATCACACTGCGCAGATACCACGCTTTTTATTTGACGCTATTCCTAAGTTTGTTAAATATCCAAGTTGCGGTGAGGTCTTTTAGTAGTAACCTAAAATTCCGTCCGTATTTCACTTCAAGACAAAAATATTTGGCAGTCGCCAAATGAAAGCGCTTTTTTGGACTTTGCCCGGCCACTACGTGTTGTGCTGCCGATCCAT